ACAGGTGGGGACCAGAAACACCTTTTGGGACCAGAAATGCCTTTTGGTACCAGAAACGCCTCTGAGACGTGTCTTTAAGCTGAACTTCCTCATGGCGGAGCACACCTCCCCACCCCCCTCCCCACACACCCCGCCCATGACTCCTGCAGGCTCTCGGGTGAAAGTGAAAGTGAAACCTAACTGTCTGCTGAGCTCTCAACATTAGTTCTCACTCGGTGAAGCTCTTCTCAGACTAAAAATACCTTTGAGGAAATGTATTTTCAGAAGCCAAGTAAACTGCATCAGCAGCCCCCCACCCCCGCACTGAAATGGGCGTGACAGAAGCAGAAGGTGGTTCTTAAAGAGACAGAGGCCAATTTCAAGGTGTTTAGAAGAGGAAGTGATGAGAAGATAAGTTTATTTTCTATTTAAACATAAAAACAGCATTTTAATAACAGTTAAAGGTGACATAGATACTTTATTATGGTATAGTATTTAAATATATGCCTGAGAAACACATAATATTGGCCCTTTAAGGAAACGTAATCAAAAGAAGTTGGTAGATTAATCAACCTGTTTCCTTCTCAGGTTTACCATCAAATATAGTCCCCCCCCATCTTTCTGCCCCCAGATAAACAGCAGACCTCCAAGGTAAACAATTATTTGAATTAGTGAGCTTGAAAGCTGTGTTTTCATTGCAGCCGGGGCCGAACCTGTAAAGCTCCCCCGTCCAATTCGTTTCAATTAGCCCTCAGCAGGCAGGCAGTTTCCCTCCTGATTCTAACTTCCGTGTGTGAGCCCCCCCCCCACACACACACACACACACACACAGTCCCTATGTGTAAGCATGCCTAAGTGTGACCATATGCAGCGGACGCACAGACGACATGCGTTTAATTCACGAGTCAGCGCTTTCTCCTAAAAGAAGGGCGGGGAGTACCGCCTTTAATAAAAGATGAGATCGTTCTAACTGCCCCCAGTCGAGCAGTTTGGAGTTTTCATGTCGGGCTGCGAGGACGGCTGGAGGTAAAGGGAGATGTGGGTTTGGGTTGGGGGGTGGGGGGCTTGTTGCACTTAAAATGTGCCACTTCAGCCCCTCCACGAGCGCTGATGGTTTTTTTGGGTCCCATTAGCCTCATTAATAATGTAGCTGTGGACGGCCCTGGAACTGCTCGATGATCCCACCATCAGCACTTTGAGGGGAAGCTTTTAGTGACGCTGGACATTTTTCTCACTTCGCAGACTGACAGGGTCCGTGTTTTAAGGGGGTGGGGGGTCTCACTGAGCTGAAACGCTTGGGAAGCAGTGTTGATTCAGAACTGAGAGAAAATACTTTATATTTATGTTGCCTTTTCCCTGAACTCACTCACTTTACGTCCACAGCTCTTAAACTGCATTCTTGTCCGTGCACATTATTATGACACCCCCCCCCCCCCCCCCATCTTATTGTTTTTGTACTGTTTTTTTTTTTCCAGTGATTTTTTTTTTTTTGGTCAACTCTGTCACAGAAACAACCAAGTAAAATCTCAGTTTCTGTTTTCCATCCGTCCCGATTCAAAGCTGGGAATGATGGCGCTCTGTTTCAGCTCTTCAGACCCGTCTGTGATTCCACTCTCCATCCTCCTGAAATCCCCAGTGAGCCTCAGTCCGGTTGGCCAGCCTCTTAAATTATACACCGTCTCCTGATGCTTTATTTTTTTATGGTTTGCCTCACGGAACGGTTCACTAAATGAGACAGGTCTTGTTTTTCCTTAAAGCAGAGGGAAGTGGCAGACTGATAAATATTTCAGCATCACTGATGCTGCTCATCTCCAGCTGGAATCTGAGGAGCAATGGTTACGTGGGGGGGTGGGGGGTAACCAACAGGAAGTAGGGCATTAAGAGGGGAGTCATGGTAAATACAGGTTTAACCATATTTACCATGAAACAGGAAATGGTTTTGTCAAATTTCACTCTTTAATTATTCAGAGCAGCACTTAGGAAAAAGTGTTTACGGCATCAGTTTGTTCAGGTGGGCTCGGGGTCTGAGCCTCAGCTGCTCCTGTGGGCCTCAGGTACCTTCAGATTGTATCGAATGTAACTAAAACAATATTCAAGAATAGGAAAATTAATTTGCATGGTAAATCGCGTGCAGCCTCCTGGGTATTTTAGTTGAATTGTTGAGTGTTTATCAGCAGTGAGTGCTGTTCCTGTTACTGCAGAGCAGGATAATTGCTCACTGTTGGAAGAACAATAGGCTGTTCAATATGTTTAATTAGCAGGATCAAATGAGTAAAGATGCACTGATGTAACAGTATGCATGATAAATGAGCAGACCGTGCCCTTTGGTGCCTGGGTTTTCTAATACCATCTTATCTACTAGTACAGACGATGAGTCATAGTGACGGGGGGGGGGGGGGGGTACAGCAGAGGGAGGGAGATATGGAAAAAGTTGGGATTATTTGTGAAGAGGAGGATGAAGAAGTGAGAAAATGTTTAAGTCAGTCCTGAGGGCCGACCCACGTCGGAGAGGAGAGGCTTTCACCCTGCTTCTCATATCAGAATATTCACAAAAGCTCAATTCTGTGACTTTCTGACTGCAGCTACGTTCAAACTGCAGGAAAAAGTGACCCGAATCGGATTTTTCACAATCTTATATCTTCAGATGAATTATTGTCGCCAAGCGATGCTCAGAAATCCAACGAGAGACTTTTAAAACCCAAATGAAAAATAGTTATTTGCAGCTCTGACTTTTGTCACTGTTGTTTGGGTGTGAAGTTGGCACGTGGCCCGGCTTTGGGCCGCTGACTGACTCTTAATTGTTCACAGCCAGAGCCGAGCTGCAGGCAAACACATTTGGACCCATTTACAACCATCAAACATATAAATCCCAGTTGTATATGTGAGAATATTCAATAAGGACAAGTTGTTCACTTGATACAAACAAATAAATTTGACAACATCATTTGTTTTGGCACTGATGGACCCTTTGTTTAACATTTGAAGCACATATTTATTTAATTATTGAGCGTTCTTGACCAAAAACTAAAACTTTGTGGTTTTTCYTGTGAAGCCAGCAGGTTCTATAGATTTGCATCTGAATTTGTTGCAGTTGTTTTTTCTTCTGACTGTTTTTTGGKACAAATCTCATTCTGCAATTATTGTTCTACTTAAACAATTTCTACAGGAAACCTTCAGCTCCTTCAGGACCTTTGGTACTTCAGCAATTATACGTTTTGAGATCTTTAGCTGTTTCGGCTACTTTTGGTGTCATTAAAAATGAATGGAGATGTTTTCAGCATCCTGAAAACAAAAAAAAATTCATGAATCTTTAATTCATGTTTTATGTTTTGTTCTGGTTCTGCTTTTTTAACTTGTGCTCATTTCAACGTCTCTCAGCTTCCGTTCTGCTGATTTAAGCATTTAAGCTCTTTTTTGTCTTTTTTAATATATTTTTGCTAATTTCAACTTTTTGTGCTTCTTTTAGCTTCTTCCTGCTGATTTAAGCTATTTTTATTCATCTTTCAGCTAAATTTAGCTGTTTCCTGTGAGTTTTTTAGCTTCTCTATAGCTAATTTGAGCTATTTTTCAGCTAAATTTACCGTTTTGTAAAAATTTCAACTTCTTACTGCTTAATACAGCAATCATGCACTATGTCCTTTAAGGGTCTTTTTATAATTTCAGCTACATTTTAGCTTTTTGRGCTATTTTTGGCTGTTTTAGCCATTTTCTTCCAACTTTTTATTTTCTGCTAATTTGTAATTTTTTGGACACATTTCACTGTCTGTTTGCTAATTTCAACTTTTTGTGCTTCTTTTAGCTTCTTCCCACTAATTTAACCTATTTTATGTATCTTTCAGCTACATTTAGCTTTTTGTGGAAAAAAACAGCTTTTTACTGCTTAATACAGCAATTCTAGCTTCTTTAAGCTTTGCTACTTTTAGGCTTTTTTAGCCATGTTTTAGATACTTTTCCACAAATTTTACCTGTTTCATGCTGAGTTAAGTTCTTTCACCTTCAATTTTATCAATTTGTAAGATACTGAGCCTATTTTTGCTTCTTCTGCAGTTTTCAGCAAAACTCCTTCAGCATTAGGCTGCGTTTTGGCAGGAAATGAAAAGTTTTTTGGCTCCTACTTTTACTAATTTACTACTGACTGACTGTTGGAATGTTTCTTTTTTATCACTTGTATTAAATGAGCATGTGAAAGCTGTGAGTGATGAGAGAGAGTGACTTACTGTCCAAACACTGAGCGCAGACCGTCTGCGTGGCGCCGCACTCCTTCACCACTCCCTCTCCAGGTGAGCACTCCACGCAGCACTCCCCTCCTGTGGTGTACTGGCCGGAGTCACAGTCCAGAATCAAAGCCCGCTCCGTCTTGGACGCCGTCCCTAACGTCACCTGGCACACAGAGGAAACTCAGAACCCGTGTGCCTTTAAAACATGTGCAGCTAAACAAATTGCTGAAAATCACTGCCAGGTGTTTGACCTGTTCCTTCAACTGAACTTCAATCAGGATCCATCATAAATCATGTTGCCTCCACCTATTCTGGATCCACTTGGAGCAAGGCTGTCATCTGAACAGCCTTAACGCCCCCCCTAAAGGCACATCAGCTGTAAAACTGAACCAAAAACAAGCAGCAGCCGAGGCAGAACCTGTAAAACTGTGTGTAGAACATCAGGCCCGAGCTCGTCTCCGTTAACCGTCCAGAGCTGAGAGCCTCTGAACACGCTTCCACTTCCGCACTTCTGAAGACTTTTCTTTTAAAAGACTAATTCTTTCTGTATCAAGTCTAATTTTGACCCAACTTGTGCGTCTTTAAAGCAACAGGTGTTACACCATTTTTTGTGACCGTCATATATTGTGACCAGAGGGGGCGCTGTTGCGTTTCTACAACAGAACATGGCCGAACATGGCCACAAAGAAGAATATGATAGCTATTATCATGTATAGTGGTTATAATAGTAGTAGTAATAGTAATAGTCAACATGRCAGTGATCAGAAGTTATTTGTCTGACATTAGAGGATGTATACAATGAGTAGAATCAGTTTATGAATAAATATTTTTATTATTCACCAAGCTACAGTGAAGTCACAATATATGACATCAGTTGTCATATTTTGTGACCTCTGGGTTACACTTTTGGCGTATCGTATTCTTCTTTGCGGCTATTTTCGGCCAAGTTCTGTTGTAGAAACGCAACAGCGCCCCCTCTGGTCACAATATATGACGGTCACAAAAATATGGTGTAACACCGGTCCTTGGCACAAACTTTATCAGCCCAGAGGTGCCAGAAGGTTTCAGGTGTTTACAAGGACTAAAACTGCAAAACATCAGGATTAAATGAAAACTGAATGTCTGTTTTATTATTTTAATATCACTTAAAGCAAAAAGCTGTTGTGTAAGCACTTCTTCTAACAAGTCGCTGCTCAGATTTATAATTTGATATCAAATCCTTTGAGGCGTTATTTTATTTGTGATCTTGTCTGATATTAAACATCTTTCTTCTGTTTAATTTTTATCACCTGCAGTCAAAAGTGAAGCCTGAGCARTTCTGAAATATAAATTTAAATCTTTTTTTAAAGTAATATTTGAGTTTATCTACAACATTTGCCTACATCCAACATGGCCGCCACGTAAGCATCGTTAAACTCAGCCTGTTGTACTCGGAGCACTAAGTGAGCGTAATCTGTTTGTAATTCTACCATTGGACTCAACTCTGCCTGTGTGTTAGCAAAATATCTTATGAACCCATGGAGCTGAGCCAGTTCATAATGGCCACCAAAGCCAAGGAATTTCCTGATATTCAGTTAAAATTCAGTGAGATTAAAGATGAAAGTTGTTCAAAACTAAAACTTCAAACACTTCGAACAGATCACAGGAGAAATTGCAGATAATTTGACCAAAAATAACTGATTTCTCAACCTAAACTCTGACATGAAATGCGTTCCTTCAAAGAAAGTTAGAGTTTTGTTTGATTTTCTGGGATGTAAACACTCCTGGAAGCTCCTGGCAGAAGAACTGAAGCCTCCTCTGCTGCTTCAAACAACAGATTCTTAAAAGGAAAAGAATTTGTAGCTTTGAAACAAAAGGGGAAAAAAACATTCCACTGAATCATTTTAATGTCCTGTGGCTTTTATGATGCAATAAGTAAAACCTCATTTGCACTTAATTCACATTTGCTGAGACATCTTTTTCTGTGTCCTCGGCCCTCCCCTCCCCTCATCCTGTCCCTGCTTTCATTCAGAAACAGATGAGCAGCTCTCCTCTTCACATTCCTGCTCCTCTCTCCCTCTTTGGCATTCCACTTCATGCCTGTGTTTTTTTCTGCTGGAATTAAACTCTGCTGTTGTTCTTCCTGCAGTTTCACTCAGTTCAAAGACAAGTTATTAACTAATTCTGCTGGTCAGGATGCAGAAACGTGACGCAGCTGTGACGGGCCGGGTGCGTGCTCCCTGCGATCCCACGGCCAATTTGTGAATTTATTTCTAAATTTAATTCCAGCAAAGTGCACGGACCGTGGCCAGCTGTCACAAAAGAGKGTCCCCTCACATCCACGGGCTTTCCACGTGATGACGGAGCAGTGCAGCCCAATTAGAGCAGCTGCTCATACCAGAGAGCAGGACGTGCCCACTGCTCCACTAGATTCACAGATTTTAGCCAAAAATTAAACCTTTTTTACGCACACTTAATTAATCAATTTATCCCCAAACTTGTGCTTTAAAACCTTATTAAATCTGTTCACATCACAATAAATTAGACATAAAGGACTTTTTCTGCTCAGTTTGCAGTTTTGCTCTGTGGCAGCATGTTCTATAACTGACTGAATCAAATTTCATCAGTAAATGTTTAATGAAACAGCATGTTTAACAGATAAATGCCACATTAAGCATTGATGAGGGCAACATCTCAGCAGCAACACTTCAAATGTGCCAGAACTTTTACAAAAAAAAAAAAAAAAAAGAGAGGATCCCAGCTCCAAAGTTTCTGCAGGGTTATGTTAAACGGTGCAGTTTAAAGGTGCATTGCAGAAAGCTGTAAATTTTAAAAGCTGCATGAGGAGGTGCAGGTGGGGAAAAAAGTCTGCAGACTTACCAGAGCGCACAGAACCACCAGTGATAATGTAGTCATCCTGCTTCGTGTGCTGGAGTCACATAAAACAGATCTGGAGCAAAGAATGCAGCGCTATGTGGAGGAGGAAGAGGAGGAGGAGAAGGAGGAGGAGGAGGAGGAGGAGGAGGAGGAGAGCCGCTCAGCAGGAGAGCTCATTTTTATTCCAGCGGCGCAGATTTTTTTTTTTTTTATCAATGAGTCCGCAGCATCGCGCGCCTCTATCCAGGACCTCTGCGCCAGAGGATGCAGCTTCTCTATAACAGCCAGCGCCACTGTTTCAGTCCTTTACTCTCACAGGGAGGAGGAGGAGGAGGAGGAGGAGCGTCCTGTCCGGAGAGCTGCTCAGCTGCAAAGTGCACTGCGGAGGAGAGGAGAGGAGAGGAGAGGAGAGGAGAGGAGAGGAGAGGGACATGTCCACCCACTGGTTCATTACATCTGCTGCTCTCCTCTCAGCTCACTGAAACGAGGCTTTATTTCTAAAGAAAATGGACTCAATTCAAACCAATTAACTAATTCTACCTGCATGCTTTTAGAATAAATAAAAAATAATAAAAATACTGATTTGTCTTTTTTTACTGACATATATTGACACATATAAAGTCATGTTTTAAATTAAATTTATAACTAATCAGTATAACAGGTGCTTTCAAGCTTTTTATCAGCCACACAAACACTAAGAACACTGAAACATTGACAGCAGATCTGAAAATTATGTGTTGAACATAATAAAGAAATGCAAAAGAAGCTGTAAAGGCAGACGTATCAGTGAAGCTACAAGTATTATATACACACATATATATATATTGTTGTTGGTTTTTTTCTCTCTTTTGCAGGTGTGGAGGCAGACTAAAAATGTGTTAGATTCTGTTTTCTAATTTCCTTTTCAGTCTCTCTTTTTTCAATTTTCTCCTTTTTCTCTTCTGTTTATTTTTTCAGTCCCTTTTTCCGTTATAACGAATTAAATCCCTAAAGAATTTTTAATGGATGGATGGATGGATGGATGGATGGATGGATGGATGGATGGATGGATGGATAATGCTGCACTTGTGAAAGTAAAACTGTTGAGCTTCTTTTGGACACTCAAACATCAATTCTGAGTTTCACATTGCCAGACAGGACACGGTAAAAAAAAAAAAAAAAAAAAAAAAAGGTAAAGGCAGACATATTTCATCAATAAAATAAAGGAAGAAACCTAAAACAAGAATCTGAATAACCTCAAATGACTTATAGGAAACAGCACATGAACATCTGAGCAAAATGTGTCTCAAGCTGATCAAAAGTAAATCATAAAAACCACAGAGGGGTGAAGGAAAAACTCCTTTCAGATCCAAAACAGCCCATAAACGGATGCAAAATGACCACAAAACAATCAAAATGAGACATAAAATGACATCATGGAGGCATAAATATAAACAGTTAACCTGATTCTTTGTGTGGACTCAAGGTTTGTGGCAGAGCTGTGCTGGACTGCATTATGTTAAAGAGTGTTTCCAATATTTCCACATGTAAATAAAGAGGATTTATCAGAAACACCTGCTCCTTTTGGTGCCTCAAAATCTTTCAAGAGAAAAAAAACTCTACAAACAAACTGATGTCTCAGCTGAAAGTGTTTCAGATGCTACGGTTATTAGTTACCATTTTTCCCCTGAATTATCGTTTTTAAATAAAACTATTAATACGAATGCAACATTGTAAATATCAAGAAGCAAAAGTATTTTTTGCCACAAGGGGGCGACACAACTGAGCTCAGATCAGCTGCAGCTCAAACACATGATCAGAAGATGTTTTATATTCATGATGCATTAGCATTTTCTATTAGGTGTGTGTGTGTGTGTGTGTGTGTGTGTGTGTGTGTGTGT